TTAAGTTTATATGATCTTGTTTGCTTCGTTTTAACTAGTTGGGATATAATTGTTAGACAAAACTTTAGATATTGATCGGGTAGTTTTGAACATTTGATATCGTAAAAAATAGTTCGTCTAATAATACTAATTGAGGTGTAAAATAATATATTTAAAATAATATATTTAACTTACAATATTTTTAATTTAGGGCGATTTCTTAACACCGTGGGCTTGGTGCAGGAAAGTGATGAATTTAACAAAAAAAAATCATCACAAAAAATTAATTTTCTCGCGAAATACTGATTAGAATTATATAGTTTTGGTATTATTCGATTCATCTCATCGAGACGAATCGAATGGTACCAAAATCACATAATTCTAGTCAATAGTTCACGAGATAATTAATTTTTTGTGACGAATTTTTTTTTTGTTAATTTCGTCCCTTTTTCTGCAACAAGCCCAATTGAAGTAATCTTACATAGTATGAAGATTCTTGAATTCGAAATACAAGTTTTGTGTTTAGTCAAAATAACTCATGAAAAAGATAGATCGAATCTTTGTATTTTATTTTAGCGATTTATTGAGTAGAATGCTTGAATTATTGTTAATTGTATTTATTCGTGTTGATTATATATTTGAGATTATTTATTAATTGGCATATTTAAATTAATTGAATCAATTTTCATTTGATTTTTATTTAAAATGAATAAACATTTTTTAATAAATATACAATTTTTTTTTTTTTTGATTTTGCGATCAATTTTAGTTCTAATCTTAGTCTTAATCTTAGTTCTAATCGTTTTATAACTTGTAACTAACCCGATGCCTTCCAGTAAGATAAATTCACACGAGAATAACTTCGTTTGTATTCACTAAACCAACCCGGTTGAAATTTTAATAAGCTGTTTTCAACCTACTTAATTTTAAAAAATTACCTTTTTAGTAATAATTCTAGTTTAACTAGCTTAAAATTTCTTTGTACACACGATTTCTAAACCTGACAAGATCTATGTGTCGAATCTGGTACCTTGTAGTTGTAACTTGCAACCTTTTTTAATGGTTTTAGTGATTTATAATTTTTAAAACAAGCTTGGTAAGTTTATAGAAGCGAAATAGTGAGCAGTTTTATACATATAAAAATAAAACAAAATGCCAACTTGAAGTGCCGCATTCTTCTCGGGTTTATTTTGTATTGTATTTTAAACTTGCAAATAATAAAGAAATCAACTTTCTGAACTGTCGAAATGCATGTCATAAGTGCAGTTTCCTTTTTAGAAACCCTTGAAATAAATGATTGAAAGTAGGTGACCGTTGCAATTTACTATGAAAATTGAGCCCATCATATGCATGTCGATCACTCAAATTTCATAGTAAAAAATTTACCCCTGTGATCTGCGTGACATATCGTGTGACTGCTAATCAAAATAAATTTGTCAATAACGATAACGTAACGGTAACGGATAAAAGATTTAATTACTTGTTATATACTAATTGATACGATTAACGGGTAACTCTTGTTTTTGCCAATAAAAGCAGGTTTTATCAAGATGGCAATTATCTTTATTTAATTTGTTAAACGTCACACGAATTATTGCGTACGTAATGTTGGGATGAGTTTTATTATTGTAAACCTTATGGGTAAGGCCCTTGTTTTCGCAAGTGTTTTTTATAAAAAAGAAAAATGGCTGACCACGATGATAGATATCATGATTATTCAGACTCTGCAGTAGTTAACTTACTTTCAACCCAAGTGAGCAATAATAGAGATTCGATAGAATCATATCATGATAACCCTAGCACAACCTCGATCGTTACAGGCACGCCACTATTATACACTTCCTTTAACGGTCCTGATGATGCACATGCTATGTGTGGGAGTAATGACAATGACGAAGATAATGGATGTCGTATGGAAAGGTCTTCGAGTCAACCTGTAAAGAAGCTATGGATCGCAATAGTAATATCCCTTTTATTCTTTACCATCGAACTTGTTGGTGGTATAATTGCCGGAAGTTTAGCATTATTGAGTGATTCTTTTCATTTACTGAGTGGTAAGTTTCTTAATTATTATTATTATTATTATTATTATTTTTATATCGATATTCACAAAAATTACACCATTAAAATCTATTAATTACGAATGTTAGATGTAGTGAGCTTTGGTATTTCTCTCTTATCAATATATCTTGCACAACGTCCTGCTACTAGAGGTGAGTTTCTATCGTATTCAATTTATCGTCTTTTGCCTCTTCACTATTCTTATTATCAATTTCGATTTCAACACCTTCTTTAGTCAAACTTACTTTCAATGCCTCGACAT